TCAAAAATAATACCAAGATATAAAGCAAGGGCGCATAACTATAATAGTATGTGTATATATATATACACGAGGTAGGATTCAAAAGTTCCTGAACTGAGTCTATAACGTAAAAATATTATGAATTAAACTGCAGAAACACATCTATTTTGAAATAAGACCCTTGTGCAACAATACACTTTTGCCAGCACCTGTAAAGTTTATCGAAGCATGTCTGGAATCCATTTTTGGCCATGTCCTTTAATTCAGCCTGTGATGCACATTCAACTTCATCTGAAGATTGAAATCAATGACACTTCAAACGTCTTGCCGGTTCAGGAAATAGGAAGAAATCACAGGGTGTGAGATCAGGGGAGTAAGGGGTATGAGGCAAAACCCTTGTTTTCATTTTCGAAAGAAAGTCATTGACGAATAGGGATCGGTGAGCACGAGCGTTGTAATGCATCAGCACCCATGACTGCTCAACCCACATTTTTGGTCTCTTCTTTCGGATCAACTCATGCAAACGATGCAGAATTTCAATGTACAGTTCTTTGTTCACAGTACGTCCTTCAGGAATAAATTCCAGATGCACAATGCTCTGGGTATCGAAGAATACCTCTAGCATGACCTTTCCTTTACAACCATCTTGGCGGAATTTCTGCCTCTGTGGGGATTGTGCTGATTTCCACCTTGCTGATGCTCTCTTGGCTCGCGGGTCGTACAAAAAAACACCATTTCTCATCTCCAGTAACAATACTGCCAAGTAGGGAAGGATCTTTGTCAATAGCCGAGATTAAATCTTCCTCATTTCCATCTAAATTCACTTTTTGTCTACATTTAACATGCGGGGAATGACGTGTTGACACACCCTATGCCTATTACGATCCTAAGTCAGTATCCACTGACACGCGGCCTTTGATATCCCAACTGATTCTGCTATTTGGCAAATTGCCTGCTGCCTGTTCGCACGTACTGCCGCAGATATCTTTTTCATGTTTTCATCGGTGCATGAAGTCACAAGACAGCCACAGCGTACGTCCTCTTCGGCACTTTCCCTGCCTTCTCTGAAATGACGATGCCACTCAAAAGCTTGATTCTCGATAATGTTTCACTTCCGTATGCATGCTTCAACATTTTGAAAGTCTCTGTAGCACACGTTTCCCAAGAGAACACAAAATTTGATATTGATTCTCTGCTCAACTATGCCATTTCCTTCTATCGCCGGTTACTAAATGCACTTGCCTACAAAAAATGCTGTTGCCGCGAGCTTTTGACCACGTGATTTGGGAAAAAACACTTTTAGAAAAGTGGAAGAATGCAGTAACACAAAAATGTTCTCGTAGTCGCACTACTGCAAAAGATTTTTACGTAATAGACTCAGTCCAGAAACTTTTGAATCCTACAACATATATATATATATATATATATAGTAACAATGCAAACACAAAAGGAATGCAGAAAGTCAAATTTAAACTATTGTTTATGCTTAAGGTCACTAAAATAGAGAATTTTGATCTCTGATACTGTGATAATTAAAAGCACTTTGCCATTCATCATTTTGCACTTGGATATTCATTGCACCTTAGTTGTATCTTGGTTTACCCAGGGAGGAGGGACACAATATAAGTAGTTCTTAAAACATTATCATAATTTAAATTAGCTCTCAGCTTTACAAAAATTATCTTCAAAGAAACCTGTCTCTGCCTTAATATGTCATTTGATTCCCTTAAAATTCTGAAGATTCAAATTAGAAATTGGAATAACAAATCATTAACTGTATAAGCTTATATGTAAAATATGTACATTTTTTGTGGTAGGCAGCGAATACAGTCAAAAGTCTTTAATCCGGACTCGTTGGGACTTCGGCGGTTCCGGATTACTGGTTTTTCCGGATGTACAGTTATAGATCATCAGTTTAAATCTGGTAAGATGGCATGCAGAAATTATAAAATTAAAAATATGAAACCATAATCTATGAAATAAAGAGCACTTATGATCTAAAGGGTATCAAAATTTACAAAAAAAAACTTAATATTTATTTGTTTACTTTATTAAACATTTCTTTCAACGCGCGCATGCGTAAAGCATACATTACGCATAGTCGAAATTAGAAAATTGCAACCAGAACACTATTTGATGTGTATTCTTGATATTTATAATGACAAGGAATTTGATTTAAATCATATCAAAGACGGAGTACATCAAGATGAAATACTACATTTAGTAAGGAATTATAAGCCAAATAAAATATAAACATCTGCCCTGAAGATAAGGATAGTGCTGACAAATCAACTTCCAGTTCATTGCGCGCCACGAGAATCAAAGGATATGCCTTTATATATTTTTTGCAGCAATTCCACTTTTTGTTTGATGGACATCGAAACATGCTTTCGCTTTGTAGATCCTTTGGTAGCTCCAGAATCGGAAATTTTTTTTGACATAATCGAAAGTTCAAGCTTAATTTTATAAAATTGCTCTAACAGTCTGCAAAAAATAATAAGCCGGATCCAATTAGAAGATTAAGGAACAACGCAATCTGCAACGTTAACTGAAATAGACAATTAGATAATTTTAGCTTAGCTTATACTGTCTGTTATACATTAAACGCGCATGCATAAACATATTATGTGCATGCGTAAAGGTATTATGCCCATGCGTTATCGTATTATGCATTGATGCATGCTCAGAAAGTATGTAGCTTTGAGGTCCGGATTATAGATCATTCCAGATTAAGGACGTCTGGATTAAAGACTTTTAACTGTAGTTATGTTTTGCAATTGCAAGTTAAATACAACCACAGTTACAAAAGGAATTTTAAATATGATATTCACCATATTTTGAATTTTGTATTAATTACACATTATTACCATAAAAATTTATTTTATACTACTTATCATTTAGCTTTTAAAAATGACTGGAATAAAAAAAGAATATGAAGCACAATGTATATATGTAAAGAATTAAATTATCTTGTGAAACAGGCAATCTCTTTTAATATGTTTCTGTAAAATACTATGAATGTATGAAAATTTTTCTAAAATTCTAAAAACATATGCTATGACTTAATAACTAGATGGTTAAAAAAATTTACAGTTATAAAATAGTTAAGCTACCTAATATTGACTTAACATAAAATTCTTAGAACCACATACCTAGTATCTCAAACAGATTATTTGGCTTAGAGAAGTTTTTCAAATGTTCTGAAATGATTTTTATGGAAACCGAAATAAAAAGATCTCACTAAAGATTAAAACCCTGAGAAACTTAAAAACACTGCTCTGGAAGAATAAGTCTTGGCAATTAAAATAATTTTACCTATTTTGTCTGCAAATAATTAAAAAAAGTTGTATAGCCATAATTTGCAGAAATTAATGAATTTTTTTTTCGTTTCACTTTTATGTGAATGTGCATACATGTGTTGAGATTTTGGGATGTTTCCAGCTCTAAACTTTCACTACCAATTAACATGAGACAGTATTAATGCCCTAAATATTTTTAGAAAAAGACTTACTATAATAATTGCTTTTAAATTCAGTCCTCTCCAGCAGAAGCGCAGGAATTAATTAAATACTTCCATTTTCTTTACCCAATGTGTGTGTGTATGTATATATAATATATATATATATATAAAAAGCTAATTTTATAGCTTCTATAAAAAGAGATATGAATTAAAAGTTTTTAAATTAAAAATAATATTTTATGGATTATGCATAAAATATAACTGCGCATAGTACATTTTAAAACAAACAAGATTTCTAATAAATTATCCAGCTATGACCCTGAAGAAATTAAAAATGAAGAAATCGATGCTAACATTTCATATATTACCTGCTTTTTTCCCAAATTTGGGCATATAAAAATATACAATCTCACATGGCAGTCAGTGGTATTTACAAGCATAGCAAATTTTGTGTAAATATTGTGAACCTTTCTTTACAGTTGCTCTGTATTTTTAAAGTACCTACTATTTTTTAACTTGTTTAACTTTATTTTATTTATTTATTTTTTTATTAACAGTACATTTTAATTTTAATAATACATATATTATTTCATTAATATTTAAGGCTTCTAGAAATGCAAAGAAATTTTTAAACTTCAGCTTCTATGCGATTAGTGATGTTCATAATATTCATTATAACCTTACTTATCTAAAAATCGCTAGCGTACTTTACTTTCACAGTTCATATGCAGAAATAAAAATTTCCAATAACATGGAATTTAAATATCTTAAGAGTCCAAATTCCGTTAGTTAAATAAAGACATCTAGTGGCAATAAATGCAATCGACCACTAAACTTCCGTACATGTAAATCCAATGCAATAATGTAAACGGTCTTCCGTCTGAGTATGTGTTTCTCCCTATGATGTTACGTGGTAGCAACGCAATAATGGAAACGGGGATTAATGCTTTAATGAACTCTGCTGGCCAAGTCTTTCTCTCTCCAGATGATAAGACTACAGCCAATTTTCTAGGTTTGTTTTATCAAGAAACCAGTAGATTGAATTTCTCACATGAAGACAAACCTATTAAGAAAAAGGCAAAGACCATTATCAGTGGTTGTTGCAGTATCGATCTTGGGTCCTTTGAATTCATTCGGAGATATTCCTCTCAAGAATTACTCTCACCTCTGGCCTTCTCGGATCTGACCAAGTCTCCTAGCCCTGATAGAATACATGGCCAAATGTTGGAAAACTTGGGCTTAATTGGAAAGCAAAGACTTTTGGATATTATTAACCATTCTTGGACCTGTGGACAGATTTCTGTAGACTGGAAGAGAGCCACTGTCATTCATATCAGAAAACCAGGCAAACAAGCAAGCTCCCTTCAGAGTTATAGACCTATAGCCCTAACCGTAAACTAATGGGAAAAAAAATTATTCTTGCAAGACATTTACATTTTGGATCCATTGAATGTATTGAAAATCTTGTAGAATATTTAAAAGTTAATCAATAAAAATCTGTCTAGATTTCAAATCAATAGAATTCCAAGGAAATAACATAATTAAAAAAAAAATGCCTTACTATCAAAGAATCTTTTCTCAAGAAAGCAGAATGCAGCTCTTCCAATAAAGCAGTTTCTTTGGTATCTTTAGTAGTATTCTGTTCCTTAATGAGAAAATATATTTATGTGTATAAAAATACTACATAACAAAATTGGTCATGAAGCATCTTATTTTACATTCATAAAAATATCTTACAAAAATTATAAAAATTAAGAGATATCACTTACATGTTCTATTACATTTAAAGTTGTATTAAAATAAACTATTATTTCTAGGTTACCACAAAATTTAACCTAGAGATATTTTCATATCTAACACAGAACACAGAATTAACACACCTGATTTTTACATGTTAAATATATTTTTAAGTACTTCCTTCACTGAAAACTTACAGAATATAGAAAACGATCATTTCAAAATAGGTTATGTTTATCAGTATATTGTACCCCCGCTTCTTACTGTTCTAATTTTCAATTTTTGGAATAAATTACCCAGAAATTAGATAATGTGATTTTCTTAAACAAATATAAATAACCGCTGATTAATTTTAACTTACAATATAATTATTTAAAAGTTAATATATGGAAACTACTTATTTCTTAATCAAAAATAGAATATTTGGAATTTACCTTTGCAAGACATTTTTGATAAATAAACTGAGTTTCCAAGCATTCAATTTTTCCTTGAATATCAGTTAAATCAGATAATGTTGGCTCTACATTAGATACACTGTTTACATCATTGTACACTGCACAGCGATTTTCATAAATTGCACATTCAGTTTCCACTTTATCCTTAAATTCATCAAGCTCCTTCAAAATCCATTGAATGACTGACAAGCCACTGCTGCCTTTATTCTAGATATATTAAAATAAAATTATACAAATAAGAAAAAAATATGTTTTCTCTATACATAAAATACTTGTTTTAAAAATCATCACAATAGTATTTATTTACTTATTTTTCAATGGAAGGGGAAAAAATAAAATAGCCCACATCAATAACTTATTACCAACCACAAACCATCCATAATTCTTTCAAATTACAATATATTATTTAAAAATAATGTAATAGATGGAGCTAATATAAATCTACAGAACATTTGATATTTCTCAATGTAAGACTTATAAATTAAATATCTGCTCATTTGAATAGCAGATCCATTAATTCTTAATAATATCATTTCACTACACTCAGTTTAGCAGTATCACAGAAGTTATGTTCCTTAAACACCAATCAAATACGGAAAAAAAGCACAATAACAGTTTGGATGATGACAAAGCTAACACAGGCAAATAAAAGTATCAAGTACACCTAGCTTAATGTGAAATCATTAATTAATTTTAACTAATATATTTTTTTAAATCCAAAATATAGATAATAAATTTATTTTGCAATAGCATTTTGTTAATTTAAAGTTCTTAGCAGCAGGATCACTTTTATCGGTTAAGCACAAGAGAATACATTATTTTATTTAAAATATTTTACCCTCCCTTTGTTTTCTTTAATAATCTAAATATTATCAAAAGGAAAGGTAGGTTATAAAAATAAGAAGTGAAATAAATAATTACATAAACCTAGCTAACAAATGCTGTTTTAATACAGTTCATCAAAAACTGATTAAAAAATGCTGTTGCTCTCAGAGTTAACAATGAATTATTTAAAAATACACATTTTACAACCATACACGAATCAATTTCAAATTGATCTGCAAATACATTGTTATAAATTTTGTATATATGTAAATAATTTTAATGAAATTATGTATGAAATTGTAGTATATTTTCTATAATATAACATTAAAAAGTACGAAGAGACAAAGCTTTGCAGGAAAAATAAGATTACAGGGGCAAATCGATTTAACATTGAGGTAAATGGCACAAGCTGATCAAGGTTTTGCCAACTAATTTTTATTGCCGAATTTGGTGAGAAACTGCCAAAAATCGCCTTCCTGGAGACCATCTGGCGACATTTTGGTGCAGTCCCTGTATTACAGTAATTGGTACAGTAATAGAATAAATGTAATTGATCCCTATATGTAACTGTAACCATACCTAGCCCTTATATGTAACTTTAATCATATATGCCTTCCAGTTATTTCAAGAAATGAAAGTTACTAGATTTCTTCGTGGCTGGGGAAAACCACATGCCACCGAAGAGAGCATCAGCTCCCTTTTTCCAGTTCAGAGTAATGAGATATTCGTGCGGGCTTTACTCATTAGATGCGCTTTGCACTGCACTGTGTTTAGCATTATCAGAAGTTTGAAATTTAACTATTGATTGTACTCTTTGATATGTATGAGTATTTTTTGTGGAAGTTCCAGTACTGTAAAGTGTTTTTTTTTTGGGGGGGGAAGGGTAAAAGTTTTATCAAGCTACCTATTATGAACTCATATGCTCCCAACAATATTAATGGTAGATGCATGAGCAATGATCTGCTTATTCAAATATTTAATTCCTTCATATTTTATATTCTCCTTTTGATTGTTTGTGTTAAAAATTTATATGTAAAATGAAACTAGATATACCTACCTTTTTAATGATAAAATCATATCTTCTCAGATTATTTTACTTGATCCTAGTAAGCAGTCAAAACCATTCTATATTTGCAAATTTGAATTACCAATGTCACTCACTTCATTTGCACATTTTGGCAGAGGTGAAAAAGTAGAAGCTCTGATGTTAAAATTTTGATTGATATAAAATTAGAAATATGTCCACAGACATGGAGTAACTTTTAAATTTTGAAATTATTTTAAAAGAAGAAATTTAATGTAACAGAAAATGTAACCAAAATAATAATAAAGTGAGAAAAGGTGTAAAAATAATCATTCATTATATTAATAATGATTAGAATTCAGAACTTGACAAATCACAATACGACTTTTAAAAATGTGAATACCTTTCAAATATAAACAGTTTAAGAATAGCATGCAGTAAAAGCCATGAAATATCTTTGGACATAAAACATTTTCAGAAGCATTTTTATTTGTTGTTTTTGTTTGAGATACCTTTCCTGCCCCCCCCAAAAAATTATTCTAGTAAAATTTGCTACTTTTAATATTGCTGTAGCAGAGGACAGCATGTTTTATTTATAACATTTTATATGTATTGTTTAATGTTCTCAAAAGTATTGAATACATATGTGAAGCATATTTTTTAAATCTGCAAAATAAATTTTAGTAAAAATTAGAAATAACGTATGCTTGTGAAAGTAAAAATTTATTAACTTTTGATTAATATTCCAATTTTTTTATAAATTAGAAAAGGCTTTTCATATATAATTAATAAGTATTTATTATGTATTATTAATAAAATGAGAATAAAGAAATTTCCTGAGAATAATCCTCAGTAAAAGTTTATTTGGAAATTTTAGGTTCAAAATATCTCTTGCAATTCATTGAAGATTGCAACAAAGTATGTAAACCACTTTAGGTGCTATTATGGCTTATAACAAATTTGCCAAATTTCAAAACATGCCAATACAGAAATTCACATACATCTTAGGGATTTTTGAATAAAAAAATTTTGCAGGTGTGCTTAGAAATACAGCTGTTTTAACATGATGGTAAAAGTTTTGTAGGTCATAATTCAAAATATTTTTTGAAGAATTCATAAAAATTACTAAAAAATACAAATTTAAAAAATAAGTCAAAGGGGGCTGAGTCTACATACTATATGTACTTAACAGAATTGGTAGAAAAAATGAATATTAATTTTAGCATAATTAAAGGATTTACAATTATATGGCACTCAAAAACTCAAATTTTATATGATCAGAACTTCCAGATGAATTTTACAGTTTAATTGAAAAAAAAGCTGTCAGTTGTTTAAAAAAGCTCATTTCAAGTTTTAAATGTACGATATAAAAATTCTTATTCAGAAAAGCAATATTTCATTTTCAGCAATTCAGTTTTTATATTTAAAAAATAATGAGAATAAAGAGATAAGAAAAGAAAGAGACTCATAAAAACAGCTATCAGTTTTAATTTTATTAAACTCATAAAATTAAAACTGATAATTAAAAAATCTGATGCGGACACCACATGACTTCTTTGTCCTTCCTATTAAATTATAGAAATTTCTTGCTGCACTTCATTTAAATAATTTCCTCGAATTTCATTTGAGATATCTTTCTTATTCAATCAATTCAGTTCTTACTTCGGAGTACGGCAAAATACATAACAATTCAAAACATGTTCATTACAAATAATAAGATACAAAAAAACCTAAAACATCAAATTCAGTTAAAAACAATTTTCGCAATTAAAATTAGTGTTTCTACGCAAACATTGGCAATTTGGCTTACGGGCAGGAAGATATAATTTTCAGTACATTAAAGTTAACTTTTGGTCCTGCTGGGGGGGGGACACTGTTGTTGGTAAACCGACAAGTTAGGCCTAGTTGCTACTCGCAAAAAATGTCCCTTCTGAATGCATTTTACAATCCGTTTTGGAAAACATAGTGCTTTATTCTGTCTGTAAGTAAAAATGTCTCACAAAAACATTATTCAAATGGATTTAATAGAGAACAAAATGGATAATTTTCTTGAAATATGATACTCAAAATTATTTGCAGTTACAATACTTCTTTTACCTCTTACAAGGACATTAACTTATAATACAAAGAGTAAACTGAAAACGTTTTATTAACCACTTTCCTTAATATTTTTTTGAAAAAAATTGCAAAAAATTATCACCTTTTTTTATTTTATTATTAAATATATATGTAGGTTTTATGTTGAATTTTTAATTTTTTGAAGGTGTAAAAGCATTTAGCTTTAATATTAATTTACTAACTGTCTCGGGCAAACGAAAAAAATTAAATATTAGTCTTTGTATGGTAATTTTTGAAACAAGGGAGAACACAAAATGATACTTGACATTCTGTACACTAGTATCTGGTCTTTTTTCTTACTGGCTTACCGCTGGAATCTCTTTTACGGGAGCACAGAGTACTGTTTTGTTGGTTTTTCTTCCCCCCCCACCTCTTCATAATCACTATCTGAAAAATCATTGCTTTCGCTATCTTGCATCATCGCCATTATTTTACTTTTTTTTCAACACAAGTATCTTTCTTTATACATTACTAATCCACAAGCCTACGTATACTGCAATAGGGAAACACAAGAGCAGTCCCAACAAAAGAACCGTGCAACCAACAAAACTTGGAAAACTGCCAATCAAAGCTGAATATTTCCTTTCATTTCCTCCAGGTCGAGTGAAACCATGATAAAACAAATCATACTAGCAAATTCTGCTTTGCCCGAGTTTTCTCAGGATAATAATTAACTGCAATATATACGAACCCGAGATAACTCAGGATAATCAGGCATGCGGTTAATAAAAAAGCAAAAAAAGTAAAACGAAAATTTGCTTGTCTCCATTTCGAAGCAAATTTCCAATAACAAATTAATTACAATCAGCATACTTTAAATTTTATTTAAAAATTATATTTAAGTAGCATTTACTGTGATACACCGAAATTATGCGATAGGTAGACTGATGACATGGCATAAGTCATGGTCTAACTTCCCCTTGTTACTATTTTAATTAAATAGTACCAAGAGGTGAAACATTTTCATTTTAAACAAAGGTATGTAATAAAGAGTGTAGTTGTCACACATATCAATACAAAATAATATTAAAATAAATGTGCTAAATAAAATGCAGTAATTTCAATGCTGATGGCTCCGTAAAATTTAACAAATTTCTCTAAGGACTCAGTTTAAAACCATAAAACCAAAATTTAAAAAAAAAAAAGGATAATTATAAAAAAATACCCTTTGCTTTTTCTGTACCACAAAAGAAAGCATTCACTGCTCTGAGTATATATAAACACAGAATAATGACATTGAATGTGAACCTTCTTACACCATAATTGCAATTCCTGAAGAGTGTAGAATTTTAAAACACTTATCATAAATCATTATACTTTGATTATAGTATTTCTTTAAAGTTAGTTCTAATACGTAGGCAGACTAATTTTTTTTATTGACATTATATGAATTACTGACAGTTTCAAATATCACTTTGGGTACACTTTTGTGTAATATTTTCTTGTTAAAATGTGAAATTTAAAAAAATGCAATGCAAACTCTAACAATAAAAAATGCTTATAATGATAACCAGTTTTTATACACCAAGTACAGTTAAAACAATTAAAAAACAATTTTTATAATTAAAATTACAGTTTCTACGCACAAACAAGTAATTCGGCCAGCAGGAAAGAAGGCAGAGTTTTCGGTGCGCAAAACTAAAAATTTCCTTTTGGTCCCACTCAGCAAAAAGACTTTGAAAGTGCAGAAAAAATTAATTTACTATTCTGCTAAGTTTCAAATGCAAACAAATATGGCTGCTATGGTTTAAAAAAAAATTAGGCTTAGCCACACTTAAACAACTTTTAAATTGTTGACAGTTCTACAAATATTAACTAACTAAACTAAAGGCACAAAAACCTTAACCTGAAAATAAGAACAACATAATTAGTCATTTTTAAACAGGGTTGCCACTCAAACAGGAAAATGAAATTCCCCAGGTTTCCCAGGTGTGCATTTTAAGAAAATTCCAGTCTATCCACGCAATGCACATTGGCTGTGCTAAGAAGTAAATTAATTATGGTACACTTGAAAACACAAAAATTTGCTAATTACATATGACTTGTATATATATTACATATGACTTATAATATATAATCCCCAAAGCATTACTATTGTAATTATAACAGGAGTTGTTTTCTCCAGTGAAGATTGAGATTAGAATCTGCCCAATCTGGATTAAAAAAAGTCTTTTTTTGCAGACATTTTGTAGTTAAATGGAAGAAAAATCTATTTAATGATATTTTTAAATAAAATTTATTTAGTAGCATACATAAGCAAACAATATGTGCATTAAATTTTGTGATGGTATGTCATCATACTGCTTAGAATTAATTTCAGGATTATGCCAGAGAAAATTTCCTGAAATTTGAAAGTATTATTTACTAATAAATAAATTTAGAGAGAAGAAGCAACATTAAATGACACAAATATCATTAAAATAAAGATAATTATTTAAAAATTGAATTAGAATAATCAACCATATTTTGACGAATATAGTTACATTAAATGGTTAGCCTAGATGACTGATTACTATTTTTTTATTTTGCTGCAAAATGACAAATAAGGCATTTATTAAAAAAGGGGGGCATAAAAAAGATTTTGCGGTAAAATCCTAGTATACGCTACGGCCTTGGTACAATTTTGAAAATGGTCGCCATCACCAAAATTATCCGTTTACTGCTCGTCATAATATCCCCAAATCCCGTGTATACGGTACATGGAAGCTATTCTAACCTCCACGGTACATTATACTAGGATTAAACTGATTTTATTTTATACGAGAATATGCATTTTCCTTAGTTCAACATGCACTGCATATGCACATGGGAATCTCGATACTCGAGGTCACTGGAAACTTGCTTCGTCTTTCTAAAAGACTATCTGATTGGAGATGCGAAAATTAGCTCTATGCCAGGTGGCCGAATGATACTCACACGATACATAATTCGCCTAGAATGTGATCGCTTCCAACGTCGGCGCAAAACTCGCTTTTTTGGGGCGAATAGCTGTATGAAATTCAATTACTTTTCTAGATTTTGACTCAAATATTTAAATTTTCTGACTTTTCCCTGAATTTTTTAGTCAATTTTCGAATTCCCTGACTTTTTCCGGTTTTCCAGGTAGTGTGGAAACTCTGTTTAAAGCAAAAAATGCAAAATTTACCACCACATAAGAATAAAAAAACTGAGCTCACTGAGCTGAGTAACAAAGTGGCTATATAATATCTATTTATATACTTTTGGTGCGGCTGATTCCAACAAAAAGCGGAGGTGCACAACTACATGTTATAGCAGTTCTATATACAAAATTTCAACGTTCTGAGATTACTCGTTTTTGAGTTATGCAAAATACATGCGCACAAAATAATCTCTTCTGTCCTTATGTACAGATGTTATGCAAAACATCGTTCAATTCCACTCAATAGAGATCAAAATGGATATTTCCACTGAAATATGGTACCCGGAATTTTTCGTGATTACAATAAGTCCTTTACTTCGTACAAGGAAGTAAAAATGGTTCCATAAACATAAACTAATGCACAAGTACTGTAAATATAATTAACCTTTTAAAGATTTCAAATAAATGACACACACTATACTCTTAAAAAATTGGATTTAATTGAAATAATAAAATTTAGTTTCTCTTCAGGGAAAAAGTCTACAATGTTTCTTTCAAAGCAATGTAAATATTTTTTTAGATAATCTCATAAGCACTTTCATAAAGCTTCAATAATATTAAGTTTGGACAACATTCAACCATACAATTTATCAGCTTGTTTACATGAATGTCCCAATGTAGTCACTAATTATTATTTTGTCTTCACCTACATTTTTCTCTTTCCATTCTCCTCCTGTTTGTGCTTGAACTACTGGCTTTTATGAAATATAATGTTCCAGTAAAATTTCTATACCTTTTCCAAACCTTTTCTGTACCATCATTGCTGGTCTTTTGTTTCTATTTTCAAACTCTTGAAGAACAGAAATAATTTCAATAAGGCCCTTTACTAATATCTCCTCACTGAAACAAAGTTCCTTCTAAGCTATGAATTAATCATAAGCTACATTTTAAGATTTAGGAATAAAATACCCATTAAAAAAACAAGTTTCTTTCAAAAATTCATAAGTTTTTCATTAATATGAGAATTTTTAAAAGGTATAGTAAGTATGAATAATCCATGTAGAGAGTAATCTAGAGTTTAATGTCCAATGCAAAATTTCTAAAATATGTATAAAAATAAGTTTGTATAATATACAAAATAATAATAAATATCTATATTACAAACAAAAGCTTCATATACAAAATAAAAACTCACAGTGAATGTGTTAATTTCTATCTCACGAGCCTTCCCCAGTTCTTTCAAAGCTGTACTGAAATTTGTTGACCAATATGATTCTTTGCCAATTTTAGACATGTTTAGTTTATTAGAAAATTCTGCATTTTCATCTAAAGTATTTAAAGAGAACTCCTGAAAATAAAGTTTAAGAAAATATTATTTATTTATTTCAAGTTTTATATTAACTAAAAACACAAACTGGTATAAAATTACTCTGATTGGTAAAAATAAAACTTTTACTGGCATCAACATATTTAAATTTTGACTTACTGGATTAGAAATTTCACAATGATATAATGCATTAAAAATACTAAGATAGTATAAACTTCAAAAAAAAGGACTGAAAGGTTATAAAAGAAATTTTACCTTTCTTAAAGAATCATACATAGATAGAAATTCTCTGTGTCTATCATTGGTATTCTCCCTTGTATTACAAACTAGGTTCCAACGTTGTTCCTAAATTAAAAAATTTTAAATTTAGAAATAAAAACAAATTTTATTAATGCTCAACAATAAGTATATATTTTACATACCTTCACTCTATTATATTCAGTCAGGAATTCTTCAATATTTTCAGGATTTTTTTCCAACTGTATATTCATCCATGCATTAGACTTACTTTCAAGATCCATTATTGTTTTCTAAAGAAGTTGAAAATACATAATATGAAATGAATTGTTAACAGTAAATTTGCTATTTATGCTTTCCTATAAAAATTTAAAATACTCTTATATGCTTATGTTTCACAAATGACTCAGAACAGTTATCGTATTCAATATAATATATTGTAGTAATACCTGTTTATTATATTGTATTGATTATTATACTGTAATTTAAATCTTGTTTCCTTTTAGATCTGTAAGCTGAATAATGCCTACAGGTTATACAAGTTTTCAAAACGGAGAGGATTTCAAATATCTCCAAATGGTGACTGTTTCAACATTGATGAATGTAGAGTTCAGTATGAGATATGCCAGAATGGTTGCTGCAGAAGATTAGAGAAGAAGATTCCAAATAGAATACAACACACTGCAGTATCACATAGACTTCATATACATCATATATATTAATGGCACACAACTCCACGAAGCATAATACATGGAAAGCCGACTCTCACATCAAAATTTTTGTACCTTTATCCAAGTTAAATACAGATGTAGACCTACTCAAAATACAACCTGCTGTGGCGTATCTTGTGAACAATGAATGATTCAAGATCATCGAAGGTAACACGCATAAATTGTTCAAGATTCCTTCTAGAAGAGGCGTGGCTGTTCTACATGCAAGGGGAAAAATAAAACAACCAGGTCTCTATATTCTGAAAATTTTAGGGATTGTGGAAAACAAGGCTGAAGTAACTAACACCATAGAACAAGAACCGTTCCACTTGACAGTACACCTAATAATCACATCCGGGTCACCAATTGTGGTAATACAATTTTTATTAAGGTAGTACAATAATCGAGACAGATCATTAATAATCATAACAATAGAATAGAATAAATATTATTTTGTCTTTTTGTTGCTATGGGTTACCAGACTGGCAGCATTGAGTTGTTGTAGTAGGCAACTCGCCACATTACCTTAAATAATCAGCAGCATTTTTATCTTCATAGCAATTCTTCCACAAAATTTGAAATTCTTGTCATAATTTGGAAAATGATTCAGCATAAAAATTGCACCGGAAATCAAGCAAATATCCACTACGTGAAAGATTCTTTCCCAATAAATAACAAATAATGCAGATCCTCTAAGCCATAGTTTGGTTACTGCATTTAAGTATTTGAATGGCTATATTTGTTATTTAATCTCCGGTAAGGAAAAGATTGTTTTCTCCTAAAAATATCAATACATTTGATGCAGTTTGTGGCAGCTTATACAGAAAATATGTATAAAACATTTTTTTTCCTTATATACTCATAGCTACATTTAACCCTCCAAAGGTTATGAGCACAAAATACCCTAAACGGGAAAGACTTCCCAATTTATTTCACCCATGAAAGTCAGCCAGCTACTGATGTAACCGATTTTGTTCCAAACAAAATATTCCACTACACATTTTCTGTCACCAAATTTGACAAAAAATATCATTTACTTCTTGTCTTTTGGATAATTTTAGGATTTGTCAACTCCTGGCCACTTAGAGGATTAAATGCATTTTTTAATTAAAAGTTTTCAAAAATTAGCTCAAGATAAAATTAATGACTAGAATGTATTCCAAAGAGCAATAAACTATAAATTCCATCTAATTTATGCACCAGTAACATTAACTGCAAAATTCAGAATCCAGAAGATATCCAGAAGTAATATGTTTGAATCATTACAGCAAATAATGTTTGAGATGAAAAATGAATGCTGAGCATAATATGCACCTACAAAACTCATTTCTGACAGACATACAGCAAAGAAAAATATTTACAGCACAGCTACTACTTACAGCATTAGAGATAAATGAAAAATGCTGATTACAGTGGAACCAGAAATATAAAATGTGGAATGTTAGTCAATGGAAATTTTACAATACACCGAAAGTACACCAAAAGATTAACAAAATGTAACTAAAAAGAGTTACTCTGCATATTGCAGGCATTGCCAACCTTCTTTGACTGCTGGTCAAAACCAACTAAAATGTGTGCATTAAGTAGATGTTTCGGGTCAATGCTATTTTCATTTTAAAACAATCTTTTTTGGTGAGTAATAAAATAAATTTTGTTGAGAAAATTATTATTATAGGGTTTAAATTTAAAATTAAGATAAACATGTTAAATAATAAAAACATTCATAACTGAATGAACTTTATTTTTTCTCTTCAATATCAACAGCTCCTCTGACTCTGAACTTGTGATCCAAATTTTGTCTTATAGTTAGTCGTCTGAAGATGAACACAATCATACTATTGGAAAGGGGGTCAGTTTGTACACCTAGCAAGCACTGAACACAAGCATATGAATTTTCAGCAGTCAAGCTTCTCCTGTTCTTATTTAAAATAAGTTTCATGTGTGAAAATACTTGCTCGCATTTATACGTTGAACTGAAAATGGACAAAATTATCGCAACTTCGCAATCGAACAAAAACATTATTATTGTCACATACTTTTGGTTTACTTTCTATGTTTTCTTCAAGTGATCATTTCATATTTATGTATTGTTATTTATTTTTATATCTGTTGTAATGGAAGTTTTCTGCCAAAAAACGTTCTTAATAAAGTTAGAAGAAACACGAAAGCAGTACCTTTAGTGCAGGTAGTAATCACCACACAAATCTATGAATTTCTGCCAATGTTTTGGTAGCTTTTCAAAGCCTTCAGTCCAGAAACATGGTGGCCGCGAGTCCAAAAACAAATCAACCTCATTTCAGATGTTCTGTGCAGAACAGAAGGTAGCACCAGCAAGATGTAGCCGCAGGTGTGAAAAATGTAGGAAAGTAGCAGCAGCGAGATGTAACTGCAGGCGTGAAAAAAAAAAGAAAAATAGCACCAGCAAGATGTAGTTGTAAGTGTCAAAAAAGGCAGAAGTCCAAAGGTGAGATGTCAAGGCTATACGGTGGGTGTGCCAAAAGATCCCATTCGAGTCCATACAGGGTCCAGCCAGTGAATGCAAACTCATGTGGTCTTGCATTACTTTGATGGTAAGATAAGGTTACATGTAAATGGGCAAATTCACTAAGCCTTGATTAGTCTTATCTATTAAAAGAGAAGGGTCATTGACCTGAGAGACGAAAGAAGTGAGAACATAAAAATTTCACGGACAATAGCAGTTCGAGATTCCGTAGACAGAGTTCCGAATGAATGAATTAGAAGTTTAAGGAGTAAATTGAATAAAATTAGATTGATGTTTTAAAATGTAATGGCCATTAAGTATTAACACTTAGTTAATGCATGTATAAATTTAATTGAGTTATATATCAAGTTATAGACAGTACCATTTAAAATTAAAACTGTTATATTGACAGGTTAAAATTACTACAGTTAAAATTTAAATTAAACATTGATTGATATGGATGACTAGGGAGAGGCCTAGGTAAAAGGTAAAAGCATTTTCTGTTTGTAGCATGGAAGAATTAACAAGCAATGGGCTAGATTAGGTCTGGGGAAGAAAATAAGTAAGGAGATTGTTGGGTTAGGCCCACAAAGTGCTGCTAGTTTGGTAATAACCCTAGTCAAGCAAACATACACTACTAGGCTTCCTAGGGAAGATGCTAATGGATCTGCTCAGGAAGTTTGGCAGAGCTGGGTTCTGCCGGATCATAAGCGGGAGTTGAATGAAAGATAGGGTTATCTATCTGTGAAATACATTGAAAGAATTTTGCCAAAAATAGGCATCAAAGGGTTGAATTTGGAAGTTAGAAAAGAGCACTTTATTCCGAACATACCAGTCAGCATTTGAGAGGATCTGGATGACCTGTATTTTCTTCAGGTGAGAGTTGGTGCCAGTTTATCAGATACAAGCTGCATATGTGAGGATGGAGCAGATGGTTCTGGTGTACAGTAGCAGTTTTCCTTTAAGGAGCAATGAGTAAAGCTGGATATAAGTTTCATAAGTTGAGTGTAGACAGTCTTGCTTTGGATATTGCACAGTTGATGTGGATTCCCCAGAAGTTTCACATAAAGATGCACTCCCAGGTACTTACAAAAATACACTCAAAGTACACCTTCTTTGTAGAGCTTGAGTGATTGGAATTGCCTATGGACATTCCTCTTTCTAGAGAACATGATGGCAGCATACTTGGCGACATTAATTTAAATTTTTCTGTTAATGAGCCAGGATTCTAAATCTGACAGGTGCTGCAAGAGGTATGAAAGAATAAGACACAGTAAACAGTGTTGCGAGATAATGGCTGTGCCATTTGTACAAAGGCCAAGACTCACAAATGGTGATTGCAGCAAGCCAGCTAAGATAGGGTTGGGGGTAGAGAATGTATAATTCACTATCACAGAAACAGCAGTTAGTGAGGTAATAGTGCATAATACAACATAATATATACAGTCAAAAGTCGTTAATCCGGACTCGTTGGGACTTCGGCGATTCGGGATTATCGATTTTTCCGGATTATAGATCATCAGCTGAAATCTGATAAAATGGCATGCAGAAATTATAAAATTAAAAGTATGAAACCGTAATTTACGAAATAAAGAACAATTATGATCTAAAGTGTATACAAAATTTACAAAAAAAAAAAAAAAAAGAGCTTAATATTTATTTGTTTACTTTATTAAACGTTTCTTTCAATGCAAGTTGTTTAAGTTGCTTCGTTTTTTATGTGATAATACATTCTCTTTAATTCTATAAACAGACATAATTTCTTGTTCAGTTCCAATGTTCAAGTCCTATAATTGCTGTTTCGAGAATACCGACTAATTTGTCAATCGAAATTGTTTCGTTTTCAATAACCTCTGTTACTTTCTTCGCTATCGGAAGCAAATTATAACAACGAGGCATTTGATTTAAATCATATCAAAGACGGAGTACATCGAAATGAAATACTACATTTAGTAAGCAATTATAAGCCAAATAAAATAAAAACATTTGCCCTGAAGATAAGATAGTGTTGACAGATCAACTTCCAATTCATTGTGCGCCGTCGCAGCTTTAAAGATAAACAAAGTTTAGATAAACAAAGGATATGCCTTTATCCATTTTTTTGCAGCAATTCCACTTTTCGTTTAATGGACTCCGAAACATACTTTCGCTTTGTAAATCCGTTACATATTAGTAAATATAAATCGGAAATTCTATTTGACATAATCGAAAGTTCAAGCTTACTTTTATAAAATTGCTCTAACAGCCTACAAAAAATAATAAGCCGGATCCAATTTGAAGATTAAGGAACAACGCAATCTGCAACATTAACTGAAATAGATAATTAGATAATTTTAGCTTAGCTTATACCGTCCGTTATACATTAAACGCGCATTCATAAACGTATTTTGCGCACGCAAATTCGCAGCCATAAATTTCATACGGATTATAGATCATTCCGGATTATGGGTGTCCGAATTAACGACTTTGAACTGTAGTACATAATACACTGGTTATCATAAATTAAGGAAAAATCACAAAAATCCTGATTACTGAAAAAGTTACAGGTAGAATTTTATGAAACTTACCCACAATATACAACATATAGTAAGGTATCAAATAACATAAAAATAAATTACCATACATTATGGTAGTATAGAAATTAGCACATGTATAAAATGAACAAATCGAAGGTGTCAGTTTGCTATAGGAAAAGTACCTTCAATATGGAATATGGTCGCCTCTAGAAGCAATACAGCACGTACAGCGATGCGTGATGCTTTCAATTATGCGGTCTATCAGTTCCATAGGAAGCGAGAGCCATTGCTCTTGCAAAGCAGTTGCAAGTGCGGCAAGGGTCTGAGGGGGTGGATTGAGAGCAGCTAGACGTTTCTCTAAAGCATTCCAAACGTGCTCAATAGGATTCAAGTCCAGGGATCGAGCTGGCCACTCCATGTGCATAATTGTTTCCTGTTGAAGATAATCATCTACGATGTGTGCCCTGTGTGGTCTTGCGTTATTGTCCTGTAACAGGAAAGCATCACCTATTGTCGTGGCATATGGGGGCACAATAAACATCTAGGATGTCATCTCTGCAAATTTGAGCATTCATGGTTCCCCTTGGAAAGACATGGAGGTCTGTGCGTCCAACCAAAGAGATGTCACCCCAAACACAGACACTGCCTGTTCCGTATGCATCTCTTTAACGGATGTCTGACAGATGATAACGGGTTCCAGGTTTTCTCCATATCAAATAACGCCTACTATCACTTTCTAGACTAAACCTGGACTCATCCATAAAGAGCAACCGCCCTCCATTGATCAGGCGTCCAGTGGACATGTTGTGGTGACTACTGCAAACGGTACCTCCTATGGCGTGACATGAGCGCCACACAAATGGCTGGTCGTCTCACATACAGACCACCTTCGTGAAGCCTTCTACGCACAGTTGACGTTGATACGAACCTTCCGGTGGCTGCAGCAAGGGAGGATCTAAGAAGATTCGGAGTAGCAGTTCTATTCCTGCGTGCACATAATGTCAAATATCAGTCATCGGCGCTTGACGTAGCAGTTGGCCGTCCTTGGCTTAACCTCCTAGATGCCAAATCTGTGGTTTGAAATCGCCTCCAAAGTCTATGAACCATAGAAGGACACACATTTAGCCATCTGGCCACTTCTGTTTTGACTTTATCCTTCCTCTAGTCTCCCAATGGCTTTCCATTGGAGTTCTGCAGGCAAATGATGCCTGGAGGTCATTGTTACGAATTGGCTATTCACATTTCTGATGTCACTATCACAGTAAGATATATGGACTTGCTCTCCAACATGGACTTTTATTCTCCTCGCAGATGACATATTCCGAGTGCAGCGCCACTAATTTGCATATTGAAGTTTTACTCAGCTACTCTTACTTGGCAACATATTAAAATTTTACATGGTTTGGCTTATTTTTGAGGGAGTTATCACTATTTTTGTGATTTTTCCTTAATTTATGATAACCAGTGTATAATATAATAGAGTGCATATAATATGTATGAAGTTGGCCAAAATACTAAGCCACATGAGCTTGTATAAGATTGTGATATACCAACACCTGTTGAAAGCCACAACTATGTCTAAATAGACTATAGCACTCAACTTTTCCTAGCAAAAGCCTGTATGAATGATTTCAACTACCCTTAGTAGCTGAGCCTGAGTGCAATCTAGTCATTCATCATGCCTGTTAACCTTTTAAAGGGCACTAGTATATAAAATATACGAGATGTTTGTCAATTTTTTAACTTCCTAAAAATGCTATTTTTCTATACCAAAAACTGTAATTTTAAGTTTTATTTTAACTGTCAATTTTTATTACATTTCTGCATGGCACACCAATGACACGGGGGTCGAACTGCTTGAAGGTATGTTGAGGAAATCTCTTGCCTTGACAAGAAGAGGGGGGTCAAAGGGAGAAGTAAGCTAATACGCACAGTCTGCAACCACTGATTGCTCAATAATGGCTTCTAAAAATAAGATTTATCTTAAATGTGCGGGGGCACCTTTAAAAACTTTTGCAATGTGTATCCAATTGTTGAAATTTTGAGAAGTGCACAAAAACTCTTTAAAACTTTAATTAGTATTTTATATACTTTTACAATGATGGTTTTTCAATAAGTAGAATAAAATTCTGCATGGAAATTACTTCAAGTAAACATATTTAAATTTTAAAAAAATGCACCTGAATCGTAATCTTTCTTTTCATCAAACTTGAATCAAAACTATCCAAATATTCTTTTAATTTTGAACAAAAGTTCTTTTTATGTAAATCCCTCTGTAATTTAAGATCTGGGAGAAGTGCCTGTAAAAAGAAAAGAAAAAGACATCAGGCATTTTCATCACGCAGGAAATTATTTATATAATATTTATAAGCAAAACTTCTCAGATGAAATATATATATATAATCATGGCAAATCCAAACTTAATCGATAATAATGATCATTATCTTCAGCTGCTTTTTAATTATGGAAAGACAAGACTTCACTCTCTTTCACATTTCAATATTCTGTTAACAAACGGGCTCCAACACAGCAGAGAATGAAAGAACTTAAATTCAACACATTCTATCCACCTTTCACCAAAAAAACTATAATATTAATGTCAAATATCCTACTTGAAATTAAAATTTTCTACATAAGTAACAAAACCAGATTGTGAATCTCAAAAATTATATAATCTGATGAAATAGATAATGACCTTCACTCTCCTACATATTCAATATATAAACATAAAATAAAAATTTGAATTAAAAATCAGACACTATAATGATTAACCCTTTGGGAAGTCCTGGTTTTGGGATCTGTCATGAAAACCTGTATTTAAAAAGCCCTTATTAGCTGAATTTGTACATGTACTTATTTTAGTCTCTATTTACATAAGCTTACATTTATTAAGATGACATTTATATTATTAAAGAAAGTAAGAATGCAAAATATTGTAAATTATAATCTAATATATACCAAGTGACAAAAAATCTCATGACTAGATAAAGCCAGTCATGGAACTCAGAAGGGTTATATTATTCAATAACTATATTTTTAAACATTTTTAAAACATTCAATAAGCAACCAAACATTAAAAAAATATACCGTGGCAATTTATCACCTATCCCTTGACTTCTGTGTTAAAAGAAAACAAATTTAGCTCATTATTTTTAACTAAAGGTATGGCATTTTGACATTATTATTTTTCTACAAAATATGCAAAATATATTGACCTCATATACCAGAGGCCATCTCACATAAAAAGTCTCCCTCAACTAAGCAAAAATTTTGAATCATCTTATGGGATACTGTTATAGTTGGGCAAATATTAGATATTTATTGAATTTTAAAAAAATAAACAACACATATAAGGGATGTTCAATTTAAAAAAAAAAAAAAAAAAAATCTGAAGCCTTTCGAGAAAACTAGCATTTCAGACACTGCTGCAAATGTATCTAAGTAGCAGTTACAACCCCCCCCCAAAAAAGTCTCATACATGCTTGAGAAATCTGAAAGAGCTAAATGCATGTCAATGTAAGCAAATAGTGATGAACCAAATGTGTGCATTATTCATGCCATCATTTCACTTCAGGCAAACTCAGCGGTAAAACATGAAAGCACTGAAAGATGATCAATGAACAATAGCACATTTCTTGGTGGTAGAAGGTATAGGAGGTGTTAAAATTTATTAATGATAGCAATAGCATGCGTAAAAGATGCAAGTCACTCACAAGGGTAAAAGTGTGATGCAAGCACTTTAGAGAACAACTATTGACCTGCAATAATAAAAGAAAATTTTTTATGCTGTGTGTTTGAATGTTATGGAGCAAATAATAGTTAAAGATTTACAAGGTTGTAAATGCAAATAGCGATAAACCTGTCATACCTGAATCAATCTCTGAAATTACTGAAATTATCTTTACCCACATTTAGCGGAAATTTAACAGAATGGATAACATTTAAAGATTTATTTAATGCTAGTGTTCGCAACAATCCAAATCTATCTAGAGCTCAAAAATTACAATATTTAAAGAGTTCTTTGAAAAATGATGCTTATCGCATCATTCAGTCAATTCCCATAGCTGATAAAAATTTCAGTATAGCTTGGAATTTATTAGAAGAGAGATTTTCTAATAAAAGAGAACCGATATTTGCTTTTATTAAAAGAATTCTTAACGTTTCACAAATACAAAAGGAATCTGCATCCTCGATATTAAATTTAGTAGATAATGTAAATGAAATAACTCGCTCATTGGAAATATTAGATCAAAGAATAGATCATTTTAGTGATACTTTGTTGTTGTATATTATTTTGCAAAAATTGGATGTTTCGACAAAGTAGTGGTGGGAGCGTCAATTAAAAAAAGACGAAATACCAAAGTTGAATGACTTGATAGAATATTTGAAGAATTACGCTAGAACATTACAGAACAGTAAACCTTTAATTAGTAAAACGCATAAATCAGATAAACCAGTGTATAATAGGGTTACTTCTCTGATTACTAATTCTACTTGCTTATTTTGTAAAGAAGATCACTTTTTACACAAGTGTTCTAATTTTTTTAATTTACCAGTGTAAAAACGAATAGAGTTTGTTAAGACAAATAAACTTTGTTTTAATTGCTTGTCTAATGTCCATAAAGTTAAAATGTATAAGAATGCAAATACCTGCAAGCATTGTTTTAAGCATCATCATAGCATTTTGCATTTAGAAAATAATTTTAAACCAAAAAATGCATCTAGATTCCCTTCACCGGAAGCACAAGTGTTTGTTCCGAAATCACAAATTGAACCAGAAAACAGCTTGAGTGAGGTTTCTCCAACTGTTTGTGCAAACAACTATGAAAGTCAACATTTTGGAGCTCATGCTAATGGTAAACGTAGTCATGTACTTTTGTGTACTGCTTTAATTAAGGTTCAAAACTAAAAAAATGAATTCATAAGTTGTAGATGTTTACTAGATTCAGGTAGTGAAAAATCATTCATTCGTCGGAAAACAGCTATCAATTCAGGATTGAGCGTAAAGGATTCAAAGATATTAGTGTCATGCTTAGGTACTTTCAATACAACTACTACTGGAGAAGTTGATTTGTTGTTTACACCTCATTTTAATACTAATTACAGAATTTCAACGTCGGCTTACATAATAGACAAAATTAGAGGAAACATTCCAAGTGTAACATTACCTTTGAATTTATATGAAAGTTTCCAAGATTTAACTTTAGCAGATCCTACATTTCATGAATCGGGAGAAATTGATATTTTGCTTGGAATTAATGTATTCCTTACTTTAACAAATGGTGAGGTGATTAAAAGGGGCAAAATTCTTCCATTTGCATGTTGTTCTAAGTTAGGATGGGTAATTGCTGGAATTACACATTTTGAATTCCCAAACCGTAAGCAGGTTTCAGTCAATATGCTAAACGTAAACACGGAGGAATTAGTCAAATCATTTTGGGATTTGGAACAAATTCCCACATCGAAACCTTTAACTAAAAAGGAAAGATTGTGTGAAAACCATTTCATAAAAAATCACGTCCGTAGTGAAAATGGTCGTTACCCAGTAAAACTACCATTTAAGCCTAAAAGAAATGAGTTGGGTAATTCCAGACCATCAGCCTTTAGCAACTTTCTTAGTCTGGAACAAAAACTAATAAAAACTCCTGAAGTATATCAACAATATAAAGACTTCATGTCCCAATATTTATCACTTGGGCACATGGAAGAATTATCCGATGATAATCTAGATAAAGTAAATTTTCATTATTATATACCTCATCATCACGTGCTAAAAGAATCGAGTCTTACCACAAAACTACGCATCGTTTTCAATGCTAGTGCCAAAACTACATCAGAGATATCGCTTAATGACACGCTAATGAATGGTCCCAAGGTGCAAGACGACTAATTTACTATTCTTTTGAGGTTTAGATACTATCCCATAGCCATTACTAGCGACTTATTGAAAATGTATCGAAAAATTCAAATTCATGATGAAGATCGCGATTACCAAAAAATATTGCGGAGAGATGATCCATCGAAGCCGATTAAAACTTACAGGTTGTGCACAGTTACGTACAGCACTACTTCAGCTTCATACCTGGCTACTCGTGTGCTCAAACAACTAACAATTGACGAAGGAGCTAAATTCCCAAAGGCAGCTGAAATAATATTACACAATTGTTATATTGATGATGTCCTATTTCGTTCAGACACAGTAGAGGACGCAGTAGAGTTGATTTCACAACTGAGTGAACTTTTACAAAAAGGTGGCTTTCGATTGCACAAATGGTGTACAAATGATCGCTCGATTTTGGAAACTGCTTTGGGTGCTTGGAACTCAAATTCTTCATGTACAGCAGTTGATATTAAATCAATAAAATTATTGGATTTGGATTGGTATCCAACGCAAGACGAGTTTACTTGTCACTTTGGAAATCTCGAAAACAGAGAGTGTTCTACTAAAAGAATAATTTTATCTTCTATTTTGAAAATCTTTGATCCACTTGGTTGGTTAGCACCCTTTATAGTTGCAGCAAAAACCTTGCTTCAAGATATATGGAAATTACAAATCTCGTGAGATGATCCCTCGCCAGATGAAATCAATCAAAGATGGAAAATCTATTGTGAAGATATCGCAAATCTTGAATGCATTTATATTCCTAGGAGAGTATTATTGCCCAAATCTACAAATGTAGAACTTCATTGTTTCTGTGACGCATCAGAGAAAGCTTACACCGCAGTGATTTATTTAAAGTCTTCAAATAATTCTTCAGTTTCGGTGCAGCTACTAACATCAAAAACTTGTGTAGCTCCCCTGAAAGTAATCTCTATTCCTCGTTTAGAACTCTGCTCTGCAGTTCTATTAGTGCATTTGGTTCAAGCTGTGCAGAATTCATTGCAAATTTATGTTGACGATATTTACGCATGGAGTGATTCAATGATAGTTTTGTCCTGGATACAAACAGAACCAACACGCTGGCAAACCTTTGTAGCCAACCGCGTTTCAGAAATTCAATCAGTCTTACCATCATCGCATTGGAATCACATAAAAGGGACGGAGAATCCAGCTGATTGCGCATCAAGAGGTCTTTTGCCTTCAGAGCTTTCTACTCATGACTTTTGGTGGACAGGTCCTCAGTGGCTTAATTCAAATAATAATCCATTCTCTATCAACTTATCATTTTCAGAAGAGTCTTTAAAGGAACAACAGAAAAATATTTCTTGTTCAATTGGAACAATTGCTTCACAAATTCCAGTCCTTAATGAAGTTTCATCATTCTTGAAACTTAAAAGAATCATCGCATGGTGTCTTCGGTTTGCGAATAATTCAGCTAAATCTACTGCAACAAGGATTAAGGGTTACTTTAAAACTGAAGAATTGCAATACGCTAGAAATGCAATTGTTAGAGTAGTTCAAAGGGATGAGTTTTTTTATGAATATAATCCTCTGAAAAAGAATCAACCGTTAAACTCAAATAGTACTTTGAACCCCTTTATCGATAAGAATGGACTTATATGCGTCGGAGGAAAATTAAGACAATCCAACATCGTGCAGGACAGAAAATATCCTATTTTGTTGCCCAAGAAACATCACATAACACAGATTATAGTGAATCATTTCATGAATCCCATCTTCATGCTGGCCCCTGCTCTTGCTATCAATTATTAGAAGAGAATATTGGATAATCCACCCTAGGTCAGTTGTAAGACAACAGATTTGGAAATGTGTGAAATGTCATCTACTCAGATAATATCTGATTTACCATCGTCTAGACTCGTTCCGTCAAAGGTTTTCTCCAAAGTTGGAATTGACTACGCCAGGCCATTTCAAGTGAAGCCCAGGCATGGTCGAGGAGTAAAACCAATGAAATGCTACATTTGTGCATTGATGTGTTTTACTACAAGAGCTATACATATTGAATTAGTAGGTAATCTAATCTCAGAATCATTTATTGCCGCTTTGAAGCGCTTTGTATCTCGAAGACGAAAACCAATAGAAGTGCATAGCGATTGTGGCACAAATTTTATTGCTGCAGATAAGGAATTGAAAAGAGTAATAAACTCCTTGAATGAAAATGAATTGGTTAATAAATATTGCTCTACTGAAGGTATTAAGTGGATATTTAATCCTCCCGCAGCGCCACATTTTGGGGGATTATGGGAAGCTGCAGTCAAATCTACAAAGTTACATCTCAAGCGAACCATAGGTGAACAACTTCTAACGCAAAGAAGAATTTACGACATTGCTAGCTCAAATTGAAGCTTGTTTAAATTCGCGACCTTTGCGTCCAATGTCTGAAGATCCATCAGAATTTTCTGCACTTACGGAGGCCATTTTTTAATTGGTACCCCGCTAACTGCCTTATCTGAAGAAAGTTTACACGATCAAAAAATTCCTATATTGCAACGTCGGAAGCTTGTTGAGAAAATGTTTCAAAGATTTTGGAAAAGATGGTCCAATAAATACATTTCTAATTTGCAACGATGTTCAAAATGGTTGAAAGTGCAACCTAATTTAAAGATTAATGATTTAGTTATCATAAAAGAAGACAATTTACCCCCGCTACGATGGAAATTAGGAAGAGTGCTGGAAGTTTTTCCTAGCTCAGATAATATTGTGCGTATCGTGAAGATCAAAGCTGCTAATGGAGTTTTCAAAAGGCCAATTCACAAACTTAGTGTTTTGCTTATCAATGATTAAGTTTTTTTCCCCCTAAAGCATTATAACATTGTACTTTGCTTTAACTATAATTAAGTTCCTAAATTGTATCAAAGCTTCTGTGCATCTATTTTGACAATAATTTAGTTTCATTTCATAATTTCATATTATGTTTTCTTGTGAATATTTTTGTGATACATTTTTGCATAATTTATTATGTTGTTAAACTGTAACACTCAACTCAAATTGTTATGATAATTTCATTTTGTAAAAGCTATTTAGTTTGACACAATGTTTCAATGCCGGGCGGAATGTTTCGGCCAACAGAGCTCTCTGCCTGTCTGTGAGATATTATTTCGCAATGCACAGATCGTATGCGCAACTCGCATTTTGTTCTTGCATTCTTGCAAACGCTAACTGTAACTCTCTCGCTGTGCTGTGTTGTGTGCTAAAGTTCAAATTGCCGAATAAAGGTTAATCGCATTTTGTTCTTGCATTCTTGCAAACGCTAACTGTAACTCTCTCGCTGTGCTGTGTTGTGTGCTAAAGTTCAAATTGCCGAATAAAGGTTAATCTACAGTCCACTCGCATTGATGTATTCTTATGTTTATTAATTTAAAGTTAAAATACCGCTACGATACACGCAGTCATCTTAGAAACATATTGACTCTCGTTGCAAATAATATCCCTTTACCGAAGAATGAAGGCACTTGAAAATTATTCTCAGAGTATTTGTAACTACTTGTTATCTAATTTCGATTCTGAAAAATTACAAACATGAAGAAAAAATCGACATACTATCTAACACAAGTAGTGGAGAAAAGCAAGGCTGAAGCCTCTTCACCCATGCTATCTGCTGTTCAAGAGAGAGGGAAGGAAAACTGGCAATTTAAGAAATTGCTGTGTGATTTCAATGATGATTAAATAATTGAAGTTCAAAGGTGACTTCACATGGAAAGTGAAAACTCCAACATTCAGTTGCAACTGGTTAAAACTATCAGCATTCAATATTTGGCAACTGGTGGGTCCCCAAGAACATAAAATGAAATTGTTTTATGCAAACTAGAGTTCTAAATCATCGATGTGCTCAAATAATACAAATTAGAAGCTCAGGCACAGCAATAAAGTATGTTTAAAAAGCAAAAATTTTCAGTAATTAAAAAAAGGGGGAATAAATTAAAGTAAATGATTTTACAAGGAATCTTTAAAATTTTCAGACACTACAAACACTACATAGAGTACAAATTGCAGTGTTATTATTTCAAACTAACCAGTTATGATTTAGATCTTTATAACAACTTCTCCTTTTCATTTCCTCACCAGAATGTAATTTGATATAAGAGAGTACTTAAGATGAGGTTTTTGGATTGTTAGACACAGCATGTTTCTGCCTTTTGAGACGACTTTAATTCTGCCATCTCTGATGGGTTTGTAATTATTTGTTGCCGAAATTTAAACTGACACACCGGTTAGAATTTTCTGAGCCAGCTTAGACTTGAATATAAGTGTGAGTCCTTGACTACTAGACCATGTTTTAAACTTGAAATTGTCTGTTACTTAGTTACACTGCCACAAGTGCTGATTAATTCTGTTAGCACAAGAAGTCTCTTTGTGTTGAAAGTTCTGTTTTAATAAAAAGGTTGTTTGCATATTTTGTTGTCTCTTTAGTTACTTCAGACATAGAGATAATTTGCTTTATGCCCGTTAGAAGTTCAGAACTAGTTTACACTCCCAAAGAAAGTCAAACTCTGTAACACAATAGCTGTGAGTCAATTGGCTATCATACATTGAAGTTCATTAATAAAATATTAATGGTTCTAAATAATACACAATAACTTAGTACTTCAATTCCCCCATTTAAATTAATTTAGCGATTCCAAAAGTGAATTTTAAGAACATTTTTGATTTTAATTTGAAAAAAAAAAAAAAAAAAAAAAAAAAAAAAATACAAACTAACTAAACATTGAAAAAAAAATTTTTTTTTTTTAATCATAAATCTAACTAGCACTCTTAAAAAAGCAAAGGTTACCTTAAAGATTTCATAAATAAAATTCAAAATATTTCAGTTATTTTTATGCTTGGAATTGAATGATTACATTTTAATGTATGCTATACAGTCCCAGAGGATTTTACTATCCTCTATCTTCTTGAAAATATACAGAGCATTAAGGAAGTTGCTTTACATATTCATAAATTTAAATCATAAAACAATTGAAAAAATTTAGACATTGTAGTTAACTAGGAAAAAGAATGGTATAAAAATTTACTTTGTCAGTACAGTTTCTTATTTTATTCAGAGCTTCAAAATATTCTTTGTATGAAACATCATAGGTAGAATCTTCCACAGGTAATAACTTATCAATTTCACTTTTTAGCAGACTAATGGCATCATTTATAATGCTGTCATTACTGGATGTGGAAACTAGATCTCTTATATTATTGATCAATTGTAAGTTGCAGAGAACACTATCAATCTAAAAGAAGACAGAATTAGGTTGGTTTACATGTTACAACTAAAACAGAGTTCATTCTTAGAATTTTAAAACATAAGTTTTTTTTTTTTTTTTTTTTTCCCTTAGCTAATAAAATGGCAACAAAAATAAAACAACCAATTTAGCCACAATTTTCATATTTAATAATGAAGAATCTGTCTCTACAGTGAAACTTGGCTTAACAAGCACCTCCTTAACGAATGATTCGAGCAAACTGATATGTAAAAATAAAGTGACTCTCTTAACAAGCAATGTTTCACAAAGTGAGCAATGTAGAGACATTATGATGTCACATGCAAGACCCTGTTTGCATCTAGGCTAAAAGCTTTTGTCTAACAGCACTTCCAAACATCACTCCAAGGGGTTTGAGCAAGTGCCTGGGGAGCCTGTAATAAAAGAAAATGTATCTCTGAACAAGATTAAGAGTTAGGAGGTTGATATAAAAAAGGCACTCATGAGCTAGTCGAACAGCATCCCTAGAAGCTGACCACTGACCATGAAGCTGCATTCTATGTCACAGAAGTTATGAAGAACATTTCATAAAGGGAGGAGGGGGCTAAAGCCTCAGCAAAAAAAAAAAAAAAAAAAAAAAAAAAAAAAGGCCAAGGGAGATGTTGAAAACGTGGGAAACTGTTGCATCATTGCCTAAGAAGCATCACCCTAACAAGGCAGAAGCTATACACGCTTCATACTTATTTAGCAATTATGATGGTTAGTTTTTGACAAATTTTGAAGTGTAAGCAAAAACATACATCTTGAGACAACAATCTTGTAAAAAAAGTGGTATTATAAATAACAAATTATATTACTATACATATTGTTATGGAGTTTGTATTTAGTTAGCTATTTTCATCTCTGTGGCACTGAAATTAAGTACATCTCAGAGCTGAATAAGGTATATTATATTTTTCACTAAAAAAGACTTGAAATTCACATATTTTGTCCTACAATTTTAACCTCTTCTCTCAGCATCTGCCTTAGCTAGTATAGCAGCCCAAAATAGTATACAGTCAAAAGTCGTTAATTCGGACACCCATAATCCGGAATGATCTATAATCCGGACCTCAAAGCTACAAACTTTCTGCACTTGCGCATAGGCGTTTACGCGTGCGTGTAAGACCTTGACAGCTGCAAATATGAGTGTGTGCATACGCATTTAATGTATAACGGACGGTATAAGATAAGCTAAAGTTATCTAATTCAGTTAATGTTGCAGATTGCATTGTTCCATAATCTTCGAATTGGATCTGGCTTATTACTTTTGCAGACTGTTAGAGCAATTTTATAAAAGTAAGCTTGAACTTTCGATTATATCAAATAGAATTTCCGATATATATTTACTAATATGTAAAGGATCAACAAAGCAAAAGTATATTTCGAAGTCCATTAAACAGAAAGTGAAATTGCTGCAAAAAAATGGATAAAGGCATATCCTTTGATTATCTAATCATTCCGAAATATTTTTATCAATTTCATGCTGCTCTGCAGTGGGAGGGGAAACGACACGGCGCACAATGAATTGGAAGTTGAACTGTCAGCACTATCCTTAAGTTCAGAACAGATGTTTTTATTTTATTTGGCTTATAATTCCTTACTAAATGTAGTATTTCATCTTGATGTACTCCGTCTTTGATATGATTTAAATCAAATTCCTCGTCATTATAATTCACTTCCAATAGTGAAGAAAGTGACGCAGAGGTTATTGAAAACGAAAAAATTTCGATTGACAAATTAGTCAGTATTCTCGACTCAACAATTATAGGACTTGAACAGCGGAACTTTGTAACTAAACAAGAAATTATGTCTGTTTAATAGAATTAAAGAGAAAGTATTATCACATGAAACGAAGCAACTTAAACAACTTACATTGAAAGAAATGTTTAATAAAGTAAACAAATAAATATTAAGTTTTTTCTTTTTGTAAATTTTGATACCCTTTAGATCATAATTGTTCTTTATTTCATTAACTACGGTTTCATATTTTTAATTTTAGAATTTCTGCATGCCATCTTACCAGATTTAAATTGACGATCTATAATCCGGAAAAATCGATAATCCGGAATCGCCGAACGCCGAAGTCCCGACGAGTCCGGATTAACGACTTTTGACTGTAGTAGCTATAGCCCCAAAATAAGATTATCAACTTCTTTAAAAAAGTTAGACTCTCAAATCAAAAATAATGATAAATATTTTTTCAGTAAACTTGCCTTAAACAACTCGAGCTTTCTGGAAGTTAATTTTTAACTATACAATAAAAATATATTTCACAAAATAATAGGATGGTCAGGTTTCATAATTTGAAATCATGAATTTTAATACTTTTTATCATATGGACATGTTAAAACATAATTTTAATTAATCTAGACTTCCATTACTCTGATGAACAGCAATGATCTCCAATGAGTCTAAATTAATGAAGTACTTCTGTGTGTACAAATCTAGCTCAGCTTACTAGCTTGGACCTTTCTCTGAAAGCAAGCACAAAAATGAAAAACAAAGACAAAGATTTTTGAAAACAAAGTATAAACACAATCAATATATATATATTCATTTCATTTACAGATACATATTTTATGAAATTTGACAATTTCAATTTAGTCACTGTATTTTTACTTAGATCCTTTAGAGTATTAAATTTAGCAATATCTGGAATAAATCTTAGAACAATATTTTTCATAGAAGAGCATCTAAACAACAGTGCTCAATATCGACACTACTCATGCCACATAGACAGGCACAATTTTTAATCAAAAACCTATTATAATAAGAGGGAAAGTGTCCATGATTAGTTAAAGCTTGGTTTAGATACCAAACTTGGGCATCTTCTTTCACTTACAGTTGAGATTAAATTATATGCTTGCCATACAGTCAAACTTTTTCTTTTCAACAAGAATTTCAAACTGTCAAATGAAGTCTTTACTTCAAAATCAATAATTTGATTTTCAGTGGCAGCCTTTGCCAATCTGCTAACTCATTACCATTGGTACCAATATGACTCTTCGTTCAAAAGAGTTTAATACCTCTGAAAGTGCTAAGAAAAATTAGCATATTTTTTATCTGTTTAATTAAATCGTTGCTTCCACAAACATCCACAACTGAAACAATTGTGCTTTCACAGTCACTATAGATTTCTACAGGATCTAGCACAGAATTAGAAATAAGCCAATATAAGGCCTCTCGCAGGGCCACTAACTCTGCCTGATAGACAGAGGCATTGTCAGAAAGTCTATATTTCCTTTGTAAGCTTAGTTTCTCATGTAAGAACACACAAAAGGCTGCTCCCACATGACCATTTAATTTAGATACATCTGTAAAAACTGTGTAGCCTGTCATATTGGGGAGGCCTTTATGCCAATTCAATCATTTCAATAAAGCTGAACGAATGTCTGATCCTCTCTCAAAGACAAAATCTCTAGCTGAGAAGATCTCACTGAAACAAGCAACAGTTTTAACACCAGCTTTTAATTTAAAGATAGTATATTCTTTTTCCGCTAAAATATCAATTGGAAGACATCCACCAAAATCTGAAGAGCTACTGTGTAAACAGTTTTAAAACACTTAGTAATCCCCAATAAAGCGAGTTTTTGAATTTGCAAAATTTTGTTACGCATTCAGACTCTTCCAGTTCATCATTCATACAAGATCTTTCTCTCAATAGCTGTTTTATATAAACTCTTTAAGAACTTTACCTTGGAGATTCATGTTACTAAGTCTATTAAGAATATGGGTGCATTCGATCTTTATTTGATCTAGGTGAGGTATAAAAGTGAGCTTTCCATCGATCATAATGACCAAATATTTGGTTGTCTAAAAAACTCTAATTGTTTGTCCATACAGTTTGCACCTAGGATGTATTGATCTAGTATTAGTCTTGGCAATACCCAAAAGAAAGCTCTTCTTTGGATCAAATTTGAGTTTAACATGGAAAGACCACTTCTCCAATTCTTGAGTGGCTAAACTAAAAGCTTTATCAATAGTATGATGACCACTTCCTGTGGCCAATTAAAAAAAAAAAAAAAAAGAGAGAGAGAGAAACCTTATTTTTCATGAAGAACAAGCATCCAAGTGAAAAACAAAGCTCAAGTTCCATCAAAAAAATTATTATTCAAATGGCAGGGTTCAGAAATGGAAACAAGGCAAAATGCACAGGAAAAAATCCCTTCCACTTCAGCTTTAAGCACAGTTGTAAGAGCCTGCGTTATTCACCAGAAATCAGAAAATGTTCCTGAAAACTGTGATAAAAATACATATGAGAGAAAGGATATACTGAGATGCCATGGAAAATGTTTTATTTGCAGGTAATATGTAGTGAAATCATGCAAAAATAAAAGTAACTACTTAGTGTGTAGGAGTAAGTACTGGCTGGTATCTGGCACATACATTTGATAAATGTTTTTCAAATAGCAAATAAAAACAAACTCCTGATTATAGTTTGCTATATTGTTCTGTAATTTTTCAGTAACTGATATCATTGGCCAAGCTAGTATTGCATTACTAGCTTATTTATCATAATGACCAGAAAATAAAACATTTACAGCACTTGATAGCTACTATGCAAATATATTTCAAATAACCAAAAAACTTGAAAATTATGAATGAATGAATGTATTACTTTGAATGAAAACTTTTATAAACTTTATTATTAAAACGCAAAATAAGGAAACAAATATGCAAAGGGAAGAGAACAGTCTTCCTTAGAAAAAAACTTTTTCGTCAACATTTGATTACTTCTGATAAATTTCAATACTAAACTTAATATATACTATTAATAAAACACAAGTCATAACTAACCGTGGTTAAATCAGCTGTGGTTTGTTTATGTGTCGGACTAACACTCTGATTCTTTGCAGCAGAAGAAGCTGATAATTCTCCAAGATCACTGCCTCTTTTAATTATTATCTTTGGCTGAACATCAGGCTTACTTTTTACTTCACCATTTGTGCCATTAGAGATGAAATCTGAACATTTATGTGATGATAGTTTAGATGCATTCGTAAATGAACATGTATCAGATTTTGCACCTGGTTCGTTGCCATTTATATCAGAAGAAATATCATTTTTATGATTTTTAATGTCACCATTCTTTAAAATCTCAATTTGATGAGAATTCTGCAAAGATAGGTTTGAATTTGAACTGACACTATCCGTTGAAGTTTTGAAATTCTTTGATTTGAAAACTTTTGATTTTAGTGACTTGGTCATATGTACTGGAGATTTTGATGATGAAGATCTGAAATTTAAAAAATAAAACTTTAAATACAATATTATAATATTTTAAATACAACCAAATTTAGAACATTAACACTATAAAAAATTGGATTAAAATTTATCACTTGCAAACAATTAAAGGCACTTCATTATTAAAATGGGCCCCCAGATTGAATCACCAATCAACCTACCTATCTCAGCGAAATCTGGCTGTGTATTCTTATACCTTGCCATGTGATTATATATTAGTACCAGCTACTTGTTCTTATACCTTGTCACGTAATCGTAATAGGAACCCTGCTGCATTTTTGCTCTCACCGTGTATTATTATTCATTTTTGATGAGGTTTTCGAATTTTCATTGTTTATTTTTTTAAAAAAATTAATTGCATTTTTGTGTGAATACGACGCTATGAATCTTTAATTTACCAAGTAATGAGATGGATGCTATACTTCCTCCCCCCCTCCAGAAAAGAGGTCTTTACTGAGAAATGTGTATGCGAAAATGCAACATGAAACTGTTGTGTTTCCAATATTCTTAGGAAACAACATGTAAGTATTATTACTATTATTATATACTGTGTCATTAATTTTTATATTCATGCTTCACAAACTTGGCAAAATTATAGCTGAGATCTTGGCAAAATTATAGCTGAGATCTTGGCGCAAATCTAAATCACCAAATATGTTTGGGGGCTACTATAACAAAAAAGTGCCAAATTAAAATATTAATATAAAAAGGTCAAAACCATATAAAAAGAAATGCAATGTCGTTAATATTTATAAACAGAAAATCGCTAAACAATATAACTTGTAATTCTTAAAAATCAAAGCGTAAATATATCTGAAATGATTACTGGAGGAATTAAAGCAACAAAAACCAGTGTAATGTTCATAAACTGGCAGGACTAGTTTGGGAGTCTTAAATACAAAACCTTCCTCAGCTACAAAAATGCAAATGACAAAATAGAAAACAGTGCTGAAGCAATAAGAATGAGAGGAACTAGAACTAAAGGCACCATCTACTGATGAAAAATGAAAACAACCATGGTAACTGGGGGTAGCTCACGCTCATGACTCTATGTAATGATTATTACATTTGTTGAGGTTGTGTATCACTTACTGCATTTTTTTGAATGCAAAACATATTTATTACAAATTATGAGAAGCTCTATTACATATATATAATAATATGGAAAACATAGAAAAATTAATGCAGGTAAGATTCCTTGTTATCTGAGGATCTTGCTAACAGCGTGCCTCCCAAGATTTCCAGAGCATTCTGGCATGTTGTACAGCTGGAAACAATCTGCAAACTGAATTAGACACACCTCCTTAATTTTTCAATTGCATTTTACATCCTCTGATTTGTTAAAACTGGAATGGTATCAGAGGGAAAACAAGATCATTGGTTCGTCAGCCCTTCTAAAATCAAGAGACTTTGATGACATACACAGTGCAGAATGCTAAAATCTCTTGACATTGGTCATGAAGTTATGTCTCTTGTACTGTCAACTGGAACGAATTATTGTGTCTGCGATGTCAGACTATGTCATCTGAAACACCGTAAGAGTTTGAAAATAGTGTCTTGCGGGGACCGCACATATGATTTTCTCATTTCTATATGGTCCCTGCACAACTATTGAATAATTTCCTTAAAAGTTGAGGGAAAGAACAAACTGGAATTGGGATTGTTACTTAGAATTGAAAGATTTTTATGAATGTGAAATGTCTCTAAAAAATCTAATTTGCCAATGGAAGATGTTTTACGAGTAAGTTTAGCTTCAAAAAAAAAAAAAAAAAAGAGGAAAATGTGATTTTTCTGACCAACAGTGGTCGGTTACGCAGAATTTGTGTTTTTTTTTTTTTTTTTTCTTCTAACATATGCCTCATCTTAGCATGAAATGTTAAGGCAGTCGTAGTTTGACTAATGTTAATTAAACCACATTGGAAAGGAATCCTATATATACCCCAGGAATTTATATTCAGAATAAGGTCTAAATATGGAATTGCATATTTTATTGACAGAAGAGAAAATGATTAAAAGTTGAATTTCAGTAAAATATATGCAATTTTATAGCTAATCAACAGAAAAGGAGTGACAACAGAAGTCTTAGAATCTCCTGGGACATTTTATTTTGGGTAGTTTCCTCTAAAATTAATTAATTGGAAAATTAAATTACTATAATAAAGCAAATACAAATAATATTGAAAGTTAATTATTTTCACTAAGGCTCATTGAATAATCTATGAAAAATTATAAGACAGAAAATGTGTCACATTTTGCCTTTTCTCTTCTGATAAATAAACTATTTCATACTTCTGCAAATGCTATGATACTGTGATGCAGTTGGAAAGTACTAATGAGCTATACTATATACACAATGCAGACTACGATTTAATTTATTCATTTAAAATGTAAAAGAAATGAATTTTACAACATTCAAAGAACAAGCTAAAAATAATTTCTCTTAAGGAAAAAATAAGAACCTAGATGACAATAACTGAATTAAAAACTCAGTAATATTGTAATATCAGAATAACTAATTGAATGAAATAATGTTGCTCTTAAAAAAATAAAGCTTGAACTTAATTTTGTCATTTTAATCTCCACGAGTCAGTGTACACAGCTATATCTCTATACATCAAAGTTGAGATTATTCATCACATCGAGTGGGAAAGTTTATTAGATTTTGGAAAAATGATTGCTAGCATTTATTAATCTATAATGAAAAAATTCTATAAGAAGAAATGCAAAATAATTTTTGCTGCAGTTATGTTATATAAACAGTAATCACCTTTGACTGCTTTTATATTTAGCAAAGCCTTTCTTCACACTTTCCGAAATAACATCAATTCCATTACATATACACTTGTAAACTTGGTATTCAAGACTAGAAGGAGAGACATAGGCACACAAAGACATCCGTTGGTTTACCAAATGTTCAAGGTAAGAAACCTAATAATAGGAAAATACAAAATGTATAAACTACAAGTGTTAAAAAATGGGATATGATGCTTAAGAAAATGTTTTTCATTTAATATGAATAAAAACATAGTTATAATAAGCTTTTATTCATATGCTAAGGAAATGGAATTTTTTTAATGTTTGAATCTCGTAACAGTTTCCTTTTACTTTTCCTAACTAATGTTATCTAATAACAGATGAAAATAGTTATATAACTGAAAAATCTATGCTTCTTTTTTAAAACTCTGTACATGCCATATTTAGAAGTGGGCTTGAAGTATAAGTTTATATGAATCAATTTTCCCCCCTTCCCTTTTAGTACAATTTATCTATTAAAAATATCCCTTTGCATAAAATGCATGAAAAATCTTACCACAAGGGCTTACTTCATTTAACATATTTATTCAGTTGGAAAATATGCTTAACACTATCCAATTAATGTTAACCAAAATTTTATTATTTTTTAACCTGCATATAGTCAATAAAAGGTAAAGAAATAATGATTAAACATGTACAAGAATCAATTCTCGAGCTTTCATTTCATAAAAGATTTTACTAAACACATGAAGATGTACATCTTACTAATTACTAAAGAAATTTTAAACATAAAAGAGCATTTGAGCTTTTTATTTTTATTAGTCATTTCAATTTTAATGAAAGGAATGTTAATTAGCTTTCAGGGTAAAACTACCAAGTTAGATCAAACATATTTGGTGTGCAAGTCTACTGAAAAAAATTACTTAAAGTTTTTCCCTTTCATAATTCAGGAACCCCTTTTCCCCATGCCCTATATTACAGGATTTTCACAAAAAGGGTGTTGTTGTTTTTTCCCTCTTCTTCTTCTTCCAGCGGCAGCTTTAAAAACTTGAGAATCACTGATCTAGAGAATCTGCATTTATTTCCAATACTTTGTATCCTACCATTCTCAGGGCTTTGGGAGATTTTTTGCTTTGATTTAGTTTCATGGATTCAAAATGTAAAGAAGATTGAAAAAGTTGTTAGCTGAGGAGGTATGGACTGTGCATGTAATGAAATCTAAAAGTGTGCAACAATGGTGTTGATCATTTTTGTAATAGCAAAAGAATGAACATTTTTAAAAAAATTTTAAAACCCATATATACAGATTTGCATTTTACATATTTGCACTATAAAGAATATTTTCACAGTAACTAAATTACTGTCATTTTCATTACAAGAAATCAAACCCAAGCAACACCATGTTTAATTCATTAAGCCCTAACAAGAAGCATTTTTCAAATAAAATACTTCAACAGGATTATTTAATCAGTCACTTGCACTAGCTGGATTACTCTAATAATATAATAATTTGAATGCCATAAATTAATTATGGCAAAAACGATTGTCTGCCTCACATGATGAATGCCTTTAAAAACTTTCTAATTTTTAATTAGTTCATGCTACCAATGTATTCACTGGAACATTTGCACAAGTAATATTTGAAACACTGAACTACAAATACTTAACTTCAGTTTTATATTAGTTTTGTGCATGAGCACATACATATACCGTATTTCATGGCATATAAGACGCACCCTTACTTAGACATCCACACACAAGGAAAAAAAGTTTCAATAGCATGGTTTCTTTTAGGTCTCGCGTTTCGTAAAAGCCAAATAAACAATTATTGAATGCAATTACGTTTCCCGTATAAGACTGTGTCCTTCACATATAAGACACAGGTAACTTTCTTGAGACCAAATTTAGGAAAGCATCTTATATGCCGCCAAATACGGTATTTGTGGATATATATTGTTATGAATTTTGTATACAGATAATGTGAGTGAAATTATGCGAAACTGTGACATTTTTCTGTATAATGTAACATTAAAATCTAGAGAGACAATGCAGTGCCAGAAAAATAAGAATACAGGGGCAAGTCTATTTAACATTTAGTAAATTTCTGTCTTCCTAATTTGATGAGATATCGTCAAACTAGCAATGGTTTTGGTGCCCAAATTTTGTTGCCAAAAGCATCAAACTTGGCAACATTTTTGTCCAGTCTCTGTATCACCATAATAGGTATTGTAAATAAATAACTGTAAATGACTTTATCTGTAACTGTAACTGTATCTGGCCTTCATAAGTCTTCAGTAATTTCAAGAAAGAGAGACTACTAGAAATCTCTCGGCAGCCGGGAGAAAACTATATATAATCGACGAGAGCAACAGTACCCTGTGATACTGTGAAAAGTTCCAGAAATCTGAAGTGTTTCTTTCAATAAAATAAATTTTGTCAGTCTATCACTGGACCTGTGTGTATTCAATCTATTACGAACCTATGCGCGCGACAATACATACACACACACACACACACACACAACATTTACTCCCGTTTTTATCATCCAAAAGTCAAGAGAGGAAAATTCTGCAACTAATTTAATATCCATAGGATAAAGTTACAAGAAGAATATAAGAAATGAAATGTATTAATGGATAAATACCAGTAATTATCACAATTTTTATTTAAAAGAAACCTACATTTCAATAAGAATACGCATTAATATTAACATAACAGTATCTAAAAAAGTATTCTGACTCTCGCACACTCTTATTGTTATCCACTGCTAATCCCTAGATCTGACACCATTCAATACTACTGTCCGTATCATTTGTTATAGCTTGCAACTCACTGCCATTGTCGGCGTTCAGTCTGTCCTCTCCCATGTTTACAATCTTCAGAACCATCTGGGATATTAGAAATTCCCATTTTCTTGAAGTTCTTCACTATTACTCAGGATTCATACACATTTCTGCACACAGTACTTTTAAGGACTTTTAAGGACCATTAATGAAAAATTAAGGACCTATGAGTAAATGGGAACTGAATAGATTCAATTAAAAATATTATTCTATGCCTGATTTTCACTTTTGTAATACCATTCTAATAATAAAATAGATCCTTGAGTAGTATGCATTATTACTAAACATGAATTAATTAACATAATTATTAATAAGTTTGAGATTAAAATAAACTGTATGAAATTTATTAAGTAACATTAACTATTTTACACTTATAATAGTTGGACATATTTGAAAGAAGATAAGTGACATTTACATTTTATTAATAGTTAGCTTTATGTTGATTTTTTTAATGTCTCATTGTGTCACATACTTAGTCAGTCTAGAGGTTTAGTAAATAGCAGGTAGATTTTATGTCAAAAGGCATATGTTAAAATGAGAAGTAAGATCATAATCAGCATGACTCATAACAAAAGACTGAAGGTTGTCACCGCTGTTGCTGGTCTAGAGAGAGACCTGCTCATTAGAACAAACCTGAAAGGCCTGATGTAGACACAGTTGGGAAGTGTTGAAAGTTAGTTAGACTCTGTTTGATGCAGTTAGTGTCATAGCTTTGTGTATAGTTTTAAGGGGCTGTAGCCCAGTTAATATACTTTAATGTTCCAATAAGCAATTTACCAGAGATGATAAGTTGTTTCGTATTATTTTTAAGTTTCACTAGATGCAAAGAATAAGTTTTACTTGAATTTTCCAATTTTTGTGTTTTATCTTGTGACCACAGTGAGTGTTAATGAAAGGCAATAACTTGCTTTAATATGTAGACATAATTTTTAAGGGTAAGCAGTTCGTTATAAATAATTAAATTAGGTAATTAGATAACCTTAGTCATAATGGATTTACATGGCTACCATTAAATTTTATTTTTTAACAATATTTGTTAAAAAAAGCCTATTAAAATCAAAAGCTAATAAATTTTCACAGTTTAAAATACATGTAATTTATGACAGATTTTTAAACGACATTAGGATGATTACACATTAAAGGCTACAAAATATTTATGTTTTGTAAGCAACAACACTCACCAAAATATTTATCCTTCATTTTAATTTGAAGCCTTCCCAAACATTTTGGCTAGTTTACATCGATTTCCTTCTCTTTAAGCATCTTTTCTAACAATTAGAGATTTGTCTTAATATGCAAACCAATGCTCTTGCTTGTTTCTGCGTGCTTATCTTCCAACTTGTCAACCTATCCACAAGGTACCTATGAGAGTTTACTTGATCCAGTAAAAGTCAAATAGTCCCAAACCCTCGAGTGAATCATAAATTGAAGGGATGAAATCATAAACAATAGGTAAGTTACATAATAACATCTGCACATATCTCTGAAGAGTAATTTTCTTTATGTACTCAGTTTCTTTCTTCAACACGTTTCCTTTTCATTTTAGAATATTTTAAGCTAACTAAGGATTTCTTTTATTCTAAATAACACTAAATGCATTTAGAACGTATAGAAGAAGTGACTAATTTTATTTCTTTAGTAATATGAACATTCAGAAGAAATATGAAATATATATGGTGAAGCCTGGTTACAAAGTTGATGTGGCAAAATTTTCAGAACTTAGTGACACTCCTAACAACAAAATCTAGAAATAGCAAAACTTTTAGAATTTAGAGCAGGCATTGGAAGCAGAATTTAGAGCAGGCACTAGGCAGCAGAATTTAGGATCCACAGAGATTGCATCAGGTGGGAAATGTCTAGTGCCAGCTATGTGTTGATGCATTAAGACATATTAGATGAATCTTTTAAATTGTAAATTTTCAATTTCTTTAATAAAAAAATCCCTTTCTATAATGTCTGGCCATGTGATAAGATTAGAAGCAGTTTTGATATTTTCCATACTTGTGTCTAGTGAAAAGTAGAGAAAATAAAGGGAAGATAAACATGTTAGGAAAAAGATTCTAGTATCAGAAGTAAAACAATTCAAAAATATTATGTTTTCATTGTTCTTCCAGATGTTCTCCAAAAGGTAAGAAATTCATTGCAAACTTTCTGTAAAATACATCCATTATGTGTTGATACCATGAGGACACTTTTCATTTGTCGCATTTTTCTCGAATATTCTAGAATCTTCGTTCTATAAACCTACCCTTCAAATTCTTCTAAACTTTCCAAGCTGCAATGTCTAACAAACAGCAAAATGTAACAGCAAAAAGGCAGAAATATTTTGGG